GTACATCAGATTCACATGTATATCTGGTGAATTTGTTAGATAGATTTGCAATTTGCAATATTTTCCACTGTTCACATGTACACCAAATTGTACATTCCCATGATTTTAAGATGTTAATGAGAATACACAGTTTTATGAACATTTCCTTAGTAAAATACAATGTATCTATGTAAATGATGTACACATGTTTTGTTCGTACATGAAACATGTGCACATGTACATATTGAATCATGTTGTTTAATTCACGTAAACCACGCTTCCTTGTCCTTATACATATAAATACAAATTTATCTCTTTAACATGTACATGCGTTCACTAACATTATGTACACATCTACATGGTCATCCAAAGTATTCGTGTACACGAATATGTGTACACTAACATTATGTACACATCCACGTGGTATTCCACCGATGTGTGTACAGCCTCACCATAAATATTGATGTGTTGTTGCCACCAGACTAGAAGACTTGAAAGGTTATCTTTTATTCGTTAACTTGTTATATCAGGCACAACGAATTACCGATTTTTTCGTTAACTTTGATCAACTGAAAAAGATTAGACTTTATTAAATGGGTGTACACATGGATGTTTGGAAACTGATTTTACATGCGGAAGTTTGTTAACTAGTGTACATGTGGAGATCGATATTTGTGTGTACATTCATAAGCTATTTAGATATACAAAAGTTTAAACTTACAAATGTATTTATATATTTTTAAATGTCTGTGGAGAGAACAAAAATATTGATTTATTGCAAGACTACAAAATCTTATAAGTATTCATTTATTAGATTTTCTTTTAAAAAATTACAGTTCAAAAGTCATTCTCGATTAATCAACGATTAATCTGTGTTTTCTTTGTTAACTCATTATGCCTATATATCAAGCACCAAATTTACTTTTCGTATTGTCAACGATTACCTTTAATTAAATATGTGTACATGTGAAATAATATACACGTTAATGGTGTACATGTCAACTATTTTACATGTGGATAGTGTTTTCAATGATTAATCTGTGTTTTCTTTGTTAACTCATTATGTCTATATATCAACACCAAGTTTATTTTTCATATTGTCAATGATTACCCTTAATTAAATATGTGTACATGTGAATAATACACAAGATAATAGTGTACATGTCAACTATTGTACATGTGGATAGTGTTTAGTTTTGTGTACATCAGGCCATGTACACATGACTACATACAACTACCATTAAAACAACGTACACGAGATAATCCATACCCCATGGAAAGACAAATACCTCTTATAAATCTGGATTTATTTTACTCATAACTCATCTTTACCTTAATACCTCATACTTTTGATGAGTTTTAGATTTTTATTTAAATTTATTTGGATCATTTAGCTTACATATTAAGTGTATATTTACATTAGTATGCTCATTTGTATATACATGAGTGTATCAAAGTTTGGGACAAAATAAAAAGGTTAATTTTTCAAATTTGAAACTTCAAAGTCAAAAATTAAAATAGCAAAATATTTAAGAATCAAACGAGCAATAAGATGAAAAATTGACCATTGTTGTTCTCGAGTGTTCACTTTCCGACATAGCGATGAGCCATAATCACTTGGGACGGCCACAGAGGTGGATCTGAGTGTGGCGAAGTGATGCAAAGGTGAATCTTCAAAGGAAAGAAACATCAACAAGGAGCTCACCGTATGTGCTCGTCGTAGAATTGCTCGACGCAACTCAACAGTGGAAAACTTCGTTTTGGATCTCTGCAAACAACATGTATCACAGATCTCAAATTTGCCATGGGAAGCTAAATGATTTTAAGAATCTTGCACTTTTACTTAATTTTTAAAGAATTTCATGCAACACCATTTTAAAAAATCAATCGTGTGGAAAAAAAAAAACAAGATATGATAAAGTAAGAAGATGAGAAGATAGAAATCCTTTAAATACTAGAGAAATTATGAGTAGTGCCACTACTTTCGCCGGACCAAGATCAATATTGACCTTTCCTACATATACGTGTATCGTATTTTTAAAAGAATAAATTGTTTTGAACAATTAAAAAACAAAAAATACTTGTGAAATACATCTTTACACAGTATCTTATAGTACTAGACTACTAGTACTACACCACTATAAAGATTCAAGAATGCAAAACAACCTATTCCAGTATAGTTTTAAACTTAGCATCTGTAATAATCATTAGTAAAATGTTTTTATTAAATCACATTCACAATATACAATAAACTACATATTACGCCAGTATAGTATTATTCAAGCCCGACTCTTACCTATGGCTAGAAGGACATGGACCATGGGCCCAAAAAATGTTTTTGTATAAAAAGTAAAGAAAAAATATCTAATTTTAAAAGAAAAGAGCCCAATTTTAAAGGAAAAAGGGCCCAATTTTTATAAAAAAATATAAATAGTAAAAAAAAGATCCAATTTTTATAAAAAAATATATAAAAGCCCTAAATTTTTTTAAATACTATAAATATATGTAGAAAAATGTTTTTTGCCATGGGCCCAAAATATTTTGAGCCTGGTTCTATTTCTGTATAATAACATCTGACATAATCACTGGATCAAGTTTTTAATGGAATTTGACGTCGTGTTGTTTTGCTAAAATCGTGTATTAATTTCAACGTATTGTTATTTTTCTTAGATTTTATTCTGAGCCGATAAAAGGTTGATGCATCGAGCGTTTATGAGCGTGATAATGTATGTGGATGTTTTAATTTGTTAGTTACGCTTTAGAGTATGCATCTTTTAATTATTCACAAATTCCAACTACATGAAGTTGTTATAAATGTTAAACATGGTGTGCAATTTTTAGGTTTGATTGGCAAGTAAAATTTTGCAATAATGACAAAGTCAAAACATGTATTAAAAGGGGAATGAGAAGTCTTTTGGGGCTGTCCACGTCGACACTTTTAATCGATCAATCAGCTTATTTCGCTCAGCCACGTCACTTTAGTTACAATTTTTTTGGGCTTCGAAACTTGCAGGCCCGCATGTTGTTTAAAAATTACAGCCGAAGCCCAGCCCTTTATGTTGTCGTTTTGATGGTATCTGGAAACCTAATCAGTAATCACGATCCCTAATTTGCCTCCACCCTTCCTCGACTTTTGCCCTCCCTCATCTGTTATCGATTTTTTATCATAGCATCATTTGGCTCTTCACCTTTCTACCCTCTTTAATTCCTTTTCTCCCTTAAATTTCTTCGATGGGTTCTTTTCCCTTTCCCAAACAAAAAAAAATATATATTTTTTACACGGATTCTACTCTTCCATCAAAAAGTATTTGTTTCTTCAATATATTACTAGGCTGAGATGTTGGAGTCCGGTGAACACAGATCGATGAAGGCAAGTAGCAAATCAGCGATCTCTTCCTCTGCTCAGGGCAAACTTATCGGAAAGAGCGGAGTCTCATCCACCATCTCCACCGGCGTTAGGGGCACGATTCCTCTCCATCGAGGCGACAGAGGAAAAGCTATCGCGACCGACGAGTTAGGGCCAGTGATGTCATTCAAAGAGGTTTCGTTGGGGCCCCATGAAGGTGAGGTTAGATTCCGGTTAATCCACTTCTGGGAGGCTCGGAATATACGATCGAAGGTGCTTATCGGTCTTGAGATGCTCTTTATCGATGAAGAGGTACAACACATAAACTTTTTAATATTAGTTTATAAATGGTTAGTTTGATATGTAATTCCTATCTTAATTTTTTTTTCAAATTGAGTTTAAAAACATCTGTGACCGTCTCTCTAATTCGGTCTAAATTAAAGCATTCATTTTAAAAATTTATGGGTATTCATTGTTTTTGTTAACTCGGTTTCCAGATTAATAGGTTTCACATTTTAGCCACAGTAGATTAGTAAACGGTTTGGATCCGTACAATCAATTATGAAAAATTTAGCAACAATATAAATTGGAATATATGTAATGGGTTAAGTTTTGTTAATTATTTCTCCTGTATGTTTCCAAAAAAATCCTCTCTAGCTACTCTAATTAAATGTCTTTCAAGTCATCAACATGGCACTATGATCCAGGGGTTTATCCCTGAAGGTAGGAGGGAGACTTATTTGCCACACTTGAAAGTTGGTGCCATTTACAGACACAACAAGTTTTACGGCTCCAACAACAAGACTTTGTACCGGGTTGCTGAACCAAGTGTCAGAATAACTGTTTCATGGAACTCTGTTCTCTCTGTCCTGGAAACCCATATGGCTTATTTTCCTGAGGACCGGTTCAGGCTACATGGATACAGAGAATTTGAAGCTGCCTCAGACCTGAAAGGTGATCTTCATGGTAAGTTTTGGCCATTTTAAAATCCCAACACTTTTATATTCGATAACGTTTTCACTTGGTCTAACATGTTCTTATCGTTTTATTATATTCTTAGATTATGTGATATAAATCATTTATTTTGGTTCCTACTGGTTGCAGATTATGTTGGTCATATCAAGCTTGTGAATGGGCAGGTTCCTTCCGAGAAAATTGTGCTAGATGAAGCCGAGATTGCTACCACTCGCAGATTTCTTCACATGAGTAAGCAATTCTCTATCTTATTCCATATACATTTGTCGTCTCTCTTACCACACTATGTTGGGCTGTTGCAGTGATCCAGTGATGAAGCTATACCTATGGGACCAGGCTGCGTCAGACTTTGTTGGAAAATTTAAGTCAAGTGGGAACACTGCCAGGGTTATCTTGGTTACAGCCTTAAACCCGAAACGGTTTGGAGGTTTGTTTTCTAAGTCCTGCTCCTTCTTTATGGACCATGTCTGGTTAGGTTAGCTTATAGTAAGTATAATCCATGCATGACATAGTATTGATTGTTACTGGTTCAATTGATATAAGTTGCTTTTAGTATTATCGCTACGTTACATACCCTTGAGTGTTACTGCTTCAACTGATTTAAGCTGCCTTTAGTGTTCACTATATATGAAGTATTTCATTTTATGTTGTAACGTTTTATGTACTATAACATTTTCCCATTCACAGGAGTCCTCTCTCTATGCTCTACGGCTCCTTCCCGAGTGTTTATGGATAGCGATATTGAAGAAACCCGGTACTATCTCAGTTGGTAAGGATTAGAGATTTTTTGCATTCACTCAAAATATTAAGACTTTTACTATTGTAATTTTCTGTTTTAAATTTATTTCAGGTTGGACACACACTTAGATGTGGCTAGCAGAGTTAATGCAGAGGTTGTCACCAAGCCGGAGACAGCCACTATAGGGGAACTCTTCTCCTATACGAAGCGGTCATCCGCTAAGGTATAATATTAACGATGTTGGCACATAAAATAAGATAATCTAAGTTATTCATTTAATGTTACAAAAATATTGCAGGTTGCTTGGTTTGAGTGTACTGCCACTATTGATGATGTTGTGTGTGGGTCTGCGTGGTATTATATAGGGTGTCGTGTGTGCCATGCTAAGGCAACCAAGGGTCCTACAACGCTAATGTGTATCAAATGTGGGAAAAGTGATATTGTTGGTGTCCCCCAGTAAGTTTTTTACTTTTTTTGTTGTAGTTGTATTTAGACCGCCATGGTTATTAATGTGCTTCTGTTACAGGTACCTGACCAAGCTCTCTGTTTATGACAACAATGATCAAGCTGTGTTTGTTCTACTCGGTGATGCTGGTGAAGAGTTGACTGGAAAGACAACGTCAGAGTTGGTAGAGAGCTATTATGAGGTAATTTGAGACATGTATATCTATTAGGTTTAAAAACGTTTATGTATTCTGATAGATGTTTAACTGTATTTTAGGCCAATGAGAGTGTAGGAGATGAGCATTTTTTCCATGTGCCGCAAGCTCTGCTTAATGCCATTGGAGAGACCCGGAAGTTTCTCGTGAAGGTGTCAAGTCACAACTTCACCGGGAAGGTCCAGTCTTTAACTGTGACAAAGGTCCTTCCTCTTGAAGCCCCAGTACCGGACGCCAGTCTAGGTAAAAACGTGGACCAGGAAACAAGTCATGACAAGGAGGACCCTGCAGATGAGTTGGTGAAAATGAGCTCTGATGAGATTGTCTCAAGAGATGCCAAGCGTGCCAAGTGTGGCTAAGGAATTGTTATTACTGGTTTTGTTTTAATTTCTGCTATGCTTTGTTTTCTACCTTTCTTAAACTTTGTCTTTCCATCATTTCAGCTACATTGTTATCTCTTTTGCTTCTAAAATCTACTATTAAACTCTTTTCATGTTCTTCCGTTTGAGTAATAGATCCAGTTATTCTATCTATAGATTATGTGAAATTGGAAGAAAATTGTATCTAAGTTATTAGATTTGCTTGAAACTGAATGAGCAAATAAACTAGAACAACAAACGTATAAATAAACTCAGTTGAAATCAACATCTCCACCTTTGATGAGATTGTTTCATGAAAAGGTTTTTGATAACACAAAAAAAAAAATAATAATAACAAATCTTCTCAGGTCTCAACCCAGCACCCTACTCTACACACCATTGACAGTATCTCTCTCATACATGAAATCTTGATATTGTTGTTGCAACCACCAAGCTCTTCACTCCAAACGAATATGTTATCAATATTTACCTCTCAGACAGAAAGGTTATGCAGAAACAGGTTCGTCCAGCCATGTTTCAACAAATAAACAATGTGGAGATCCTAGAAGCGAGAAGTAGGACCTGGTGAAAGATAAAAAAAATATGTTATCGATGTTATTCGAACCCTGGGTTACAAACATAATCAAGTACCATTCAACCACTAGACTAAAGACTTACTTTGACAATTATGATCGACAAAAACAATTGAAAGCGAAAGCCACTACTTCTGCTGCTTGTGCATAGTTCCAACTCTGGATACACCACGTTTTGTGATTCAATTTTTGAAAAATAACAACTCCCATATCTTCTTCTGATACTTGATTACTGATTTTATACGCAATCAATAATAAATCCCAAAATTAAGAAAAAGGGTTCTACTTGACTATTCCATGGAAAATTATAATCTTAGAGAAATTAGAAAATAAAAATTAACAATAAAAAATTGGAACTATAGTTAATTATAAATTATGTAATAAAAATATAAAATATATTAGAAATATACATATGAGTAAAAAAACTTATTATAAAAAAGTAAATACATACAATTTAAAAACATAAAAAAACTACAATCATAAATTATAAATTTAAATTACCAACCATAAAAAAGAAGGATTCAAATCAGCTATAGATGAAAAACAAAGTCTACAAATAATTATTCAAATGTCTGCCACACCAAAAAGGTATCTATTATATTAAAAGAGAAGTCATGATTCACTTCATGTGTGATTTTTAAGTGTGAACCATTCTTAGAAATTTTATATAACATAACATCATTATAATATCCTTTCATATCTTTAATTTTTATTTGAAATACAAATAAATAATTTTAAGAAAAGTCTAACAAAATCTTTAAAAAATCTTATAGAATCTTTTCAAGATATAGTTTCAAAAATTATTTGATTAAAAATTTAATTATCATAGAATATAATTTATTTAATTCATTTTTAACAAAAAATTAAAATTTATGTAATATACTTTTAACAATATCCCAAAATTTTGTTTATGTATTATGTAGGTCCAATTTAATTTACTTTTTATATATTTAAAATTTAGAAATAAAACAAAATATATAAATTAGTAATGTTACATAATAATGTTTTTAAAAATTGTTACAAAATACAAATTTATAAATTTTAAATTAATAATATTATAAGCTACATAAATATTATTATAAAATTGGATAGTATATACAATCAAATTGTATTTTTTTATTGATAAGTTTTACTCCTTCTGTTACTTAATATATGATGTTTTGGATCATAGCACAAAAATTAAGAAATTTACATTCTTTTACAAAAGTATTTTTAAAGATATAATTTTATAATCATTCAACAAACTATTAAAAGGAGTAAAATTTTATCGGTTGAACAGTTTCCAATAAAGTTAAAGATAACTTTAAAACCTCAAAATATACCTTAAAATCTCAAAACATCTTATATTTTGAAATAGAATAAATCTTATAAAACATCATCTATTTAAAATGGAGTGAGTATTATATAATTTCAAATATTTTCGTATTAAAATACCCGCACGGTTGTGCGGGTCGAGATCTAGTTTAAATTAAAGATTGACAACTCCCTATCACTTATTTAAAATACAAATTCCTCTTTATAAATCTAATCAACAGATTTACAATGTCAAAGGGAAAAAATAAACACATAGAGATTGGCATACGCAAAAAAATAAAATATAAAATATGATCCTAAAATAAAAAAAAATTAACCATGTATCCGGACGTAGCGCGGAGAAATCCCCTAGTATATGTAATTTAGTGTAGATTCATTATGTAAATGAAAGGTTACTATCCGATCATAGGATCATAACGACAGTAAAGTATAAGGTGCTCATGAATGGACAGCCACGAGGGAATATTGTCCCGGAGAGAGGCCTACGTCAGGGAGATCCTTTGTCCTCTTTCACTTTTATTCTATGCACGGAAGCGCTCGTTAGCCTTCTTAATCACGCAGAGAATCAAGGAAAGATAACGGGGATGCGCATCACGCGTGCGTGTCCGTCGGTATCCCACCTACTCTTTGCTGATGATAGCCTTTTCTTTTGTAAGGCGGAGCCCCGTGAATGTGAAGAAGTAATGAAAGTGGTCAGGAAATATGGACAAGCCTCTGGACAGTGCATTAATTTTGACAAGTCTTCTTTACTCTTTGGTAAGAGGATCGGTCAGGAGGCCAGGCAGGAGATCAAAGACACACTTGGGATTCAAAATGACGCAGGAATGGGAACCTATCTAGGGATACCAGAGGATATAAGTGGCTCAAAATGTAAGTTGTTTGCCTTCTTAAAAGACAAACTTCGGAATAGAGTGAATGGATGGACGGGTAGGTGGTTGTCTAGAGGTGGAAAGGAAGTAATGATTAAGTCAATCCTGTTAGCTCTCCCAACATATGTTATGTCTTGCTTTTTGCTTCCATTGGAGATATGTGATGCCTTGGCTATTGCCATTGCACAGTTTTGGTGGAGCTCAAACCCGCCAAAGAGAGGCTTACACTGGACAACATGGGACAAGTTATGTTTATCTAAAGAGGAAGGTGGAGTTGGTTTCAGGATGATCCATGAGTTCAACCTGGCGTTACTAGCAAAGCAGTTGTGGAGATTGGCCCAAAATCCAGACTCTTTGGTTGCTCGAGTTATGAGAGGACGGTACTATCGATTAAGTTCGCCTTCGCGAAAGCTCAATGTCAGTAGTCCATCGTATGTGTGGACAAGCATATCGGCTGCACGCGAATTATTGCTATTGGGGGTTAGACAGAAAATTCATTCAGGTTATGAAGTAAAGGCATGGGAGGATCCATGGATCCCCACAATTCCAGCGAGACTAGCGCATGCATCAGCTCCGGTTCTGCATCCGAATTTGAGAGTCAGTGATCTTATCAATCAAGAAACAAAGTCTTGGGATCTGGATCGATTGGAAAATTATGTTGACGCTGCTGATATACCTCTCATACGGAGTTTGGCTATTAGTTCAACCCATCGCAGAGATTCACACTGCTGGAGTTACATAAGGAGTGGAGAGTACACAGTCAAGTCCGGCTATTGGGTAGCTCGCAATATAATAAGAACGAGGATGAGATAGTGGTAGATGAACCTAGTATCAAAAGGCTCCAAGTCCAAGTTTGGAAGGTTAAAGCACCCCCAAAGATGTGTCATCTTATGTGGTAGGTTATATCGGGGCAGGTGGCTGTTACGAGTGCGCTGAATCATAGACACATGCGCTGCGACAATTTCTGCCCACGATGCGGAGAACCGGATGAAACAATTGCTCATGCAATTTTTCAATGTCCACCAGCTTTACAGGTATGGGCCTTAGCGTATATACCTACCAGCCCAACTTTATTCCCTTTGGAGAGCACTTATGCGAATATGGACTATCTATTCTGGCGGAAGAAGGTCATTTGTGGATCAGAAGTAGACAGGGACCCTTATCCTTGGTTAATATGGTACATTTGGAAGGCCCGGAATGATAAGTTGTTCAGAGGAATAGATAGAGACCCTTTGGAACTGGCTCAGTATGTAGATAGTGAATGTCTCGCCTGGTTTCAAGCTAATGAGCAGGAAGTGGTGACTACACAAGAGACCGGCGATACTGAACGTCAGGCCATAAATCTACGAGATATTTGCATGATAGACGGTTCTTGGAACTCTATCGATCAATTCTCTGGTTGTGGCTGGGACTGGAAGGATAGCTTGGGAAATAGTCAGCTGATGGGGATGCGTAATGTGAGTAGAGTGGAGTCGGCTTTGCATTCGGAGCTGGAAGCGCTGCGGTGGGCAATAGAGAACATGCTTCAACATTCGTCATGTCAGAGCTTTGGGACGGACTGCAAGGAATTGTTAGCAATGCTCACGGATCCCCATGGATGGCCAAGCTTTTCGACGGAACTGGAGAGAATCTCAACGCTGAGGATTTGTTTCCCAGATTTCAAGATCTCTTTTGTACCTAGATCTCTAAATGTTGTGTCCGATCATCTAGCTAAGACTGCACGATCCTTCTATCGTAATCTCCTGTATGTTGGTTGTTCTATTCCGGTCGGATTCCCAGACCACCTCAAGCTTGAGTAATAGAGCAGCCTTTCGTTGTCAAAAAAAAAAATGAAAGGTTACTAATTTTGATTCAATTTATTAGTAAAATTTATCCTCTAAATCATGTTACATAACCAATACATGGAAACAACTTTATTGTATAAATCTTCATTTTGATTGCGCTTTACACTATATAAACACGTTATACATCTATATTATTAAAACTGAAATATTTTTGTATACTGTTTGGAAACATTAATAAAATGATAACTGAAAATTCTTTTTATTTACGTATTTAATCCTTGCATTTACAGTAAATTATATACTTTTGTATTTTTTATTTACAGATTCTATCACTGCAGTTACAATAAATTTTAATTAATTAATTATAATGGTTGTTGTTTATTTGTAGTGAAAATAAAAACACAACCTGAAATATATATTATATATAAAATTTTAAATAT